CACCAGCAGCAGCTTTTAGACCTCAGAGTATGTGGGAAATTAAATCTGCAGTGCTATTGTGTGCAATAAAGATAGTTTAGATACTTTGTATAGATTTCTGCAGGATTTTAGTTGTCAGTTATGCCTGTTTCCTAACCCAGCATAGCTTGGGCTTTGGTCAGATAAGATACCTGGCTTGGCAGTGGTGGGGATATGGGAAAAGCACGGCCTTGGCAGAACTCCTGATGGTGTGGTACATAAATTTCGGTAGTTCTCATCTGGGATAATTACATCCATAACTCATTCTGATATTGTTCCCTTGGGCAGTTTCGAACTTCTTATAAAAATCTTTATTTCAGTTTTGTAATAATAAATCTCTATAATCCTCAGGAGCCATCTGCTTACGTGAAAATAGTTTTTGTTAAGAAAATGCATGCTCTGTTTCATACCAATTTTTCGTATGTAAAAATAACAATGTAAGCTCTGAAACCCGATTTCGAAGCATTCCCCCCCTCCAACCTCACCAAAGTAAGGAAGTGTGTGCATGATAAAGAGAATAGCAGCCAAATCAAGCACTGCCCCTCTGTGCAAGGAGCTCAGGGAGTGCAGCTGTGAGGCTCGGGTCTGCTTAAATGAGCCTATATCCATGTTTTGTGTTGTAGTTGTGTGATATGCAAGGACACTGCTGTTAACACACCTGTTCAACAGAGTGTAAGTCAGAAGACCAAGGTCCATCTGTGCAGGGTGGAAGAACTCCTGCATCATTTCTTAGTACCAAGTTGTATATAAGTTGTGCCCTTTGCTGCTCCCTCCAAACTGTGAAATTCCTCCTTTTTCTCAGGAGAGAGGCTACTATGTTAATTAACTTTAAATTTGCACTTTTGTTTATTCTTGTATTTGTTAACCAAGTGTAGATGAGACTGCCAAATTAGAAAGATATTGCTTACATATCTCATCATTTGAACTGTTCAAAGTACTGCATGAATCTGATCTCTTAAAAAATGTTATTCTGCCTTGGGGTTCTCCTGAGCACCCATTCACTGAGCTAAAAATTTGTGTTTGCATGCTGATGTTTGCTCCTGAGGGCTCATCTCCCTGGTGAGCATGTTTAAGCAACTGAAGTGCTCTTACAATGAAACATTCAAATTCAATCCTTTATTATTATGCAATCTGGGATTATTTTTTTTTATCATTAGACTTCCTTCTGAACTGGGTGGTTGACACTCCCTGTTCCAAATTCCTGTCCCATGAGCTAGTTGTTTGGAAATACTTGCTAGGAGGACAAAGACCGAGACTTTTCCTTTTTTCCTTTTTTTTTTTTTAAATCTGGAGAAAGTGCTTTTTCTCTAGGTATTTGGGATTAAACTGTAACCCAAAGGCAGGCCACAGAAAGAGGATAAAGATCAAAAGGAAAAGGAGAACATTACTTGGTAGACTGATAGAGCTGGAAATGGTGGGCCTGATTCAAGGTGCTTTGGGAGTCAGAGGATACTTGCAAATGGCTTAACTAGTTCCTAGATTAAACCTTGCATATGCCCTAGTCGAGGAATATATACCTGCTCAAGCAGCATGCACGCTCTGGAAAATAATATGAAAAGCTACTCTGTATTGTGACAAACTGAGGGTTCATTTGCATGCTTGCTAATCAGAAGAAGATATTTCTGATTAATTTCATGTCTACACAATTTTAATGAAAAACAAGACTAATTTGACTCGACTCTCCAGTCAGATCAGTTTGCACACAGAACTTCGCTCCTTGATCCATGTCCAAGAACATATTTATCTGGTAATTTATACAGCCTTTTAAATTCACTTCCTGATGTGAATTAAACCAACTTTCATGTGCAAAAGCCCCTGAAAGTTCCCTGTATATGAACTGAGGATTTCTCCATCTTTTCCGAGCGTCCCGTGATCCTGTGATCTCCTCCCTCAGATTCCTCCTGCTGGGCAGTCCCTCTCTGCTGCAGGACAGCTGGATGGATGAGCTTCCCCTTTGCCCGCAGGGACAGAAAGCAACGTGATGTGCTCTTGCCACACCAACCAAACGCTCAGGCTCCCTTGGCTGCGCAAGGAGAGCGCCAGGGTTTTTGTCATTCTTCTCGGGGAGCACTCGTTTTGGTTTTCAAGCAGCTTAGCTTTTAAAATACCGCAGCCACTTGACCAGCTGGCAGATCCTTCAGGTTGCCATGTCACAAGTTGCCAGGTTCCTGAAAGCACCCGAAGAACAACTGATCCACCGAATCTCGTTTGTTGTTGTGCTTCAGCCGTGTGGAGGGCTCAGCCAGCTACAACATTTCGAGTGCCTCCGACAGTGGCAGCGGCCGCAGCATTGTTTTGTTGTCGTTTCTGCAGAGGAGCAGCAGGAGCTTACATCATTTCCAGTAATGAAGTGCCTGGGGTTCTTTTATGACTTGCACACTCTGCGTCTCCGGAGCTGTACAGTATGTGCTGCATGACTCCAGGAAACTGAGGATTTGTTTTGACTTGCTGAAAGAACGTTTGCCGTTTCTCTTTACAATTTCACCGTCTGACTTGTCAATTCTCTCCCTTTCTTAAGAATAACTTCAGATTTAATTAGCTGAGTGCAGATATCTTTCATTGCACTGTGGATTAGACTCCTCGTTGAGTACATTTACCAAGAGAATGAAAGACATCTTAATCAGGCGTTTCTGTATTTGTACCGCTGTGTCCAGAGTGCACAGTAGCTGTCAATAGACAGTTGCTATTGACTCCCTTTCTACTAGGGGATGACCAGTGATGTGGGGACCAATCTTATTAATGCTTGCTTTTTATTTTTGATGCTCTTTCTCCTGCCTACGAGTACTTTTCAAGTGTGTTTCGTTGTCATTTCACTACCAGCTGCACAGAAAAAATGATACTTACGTGCTTTGCTGAGATGTCCCTAAGATGCTGCCATGCCCCAGGAGTTCCACAATGACCTCGCTAGCATATTTTAAGTGGTGCAATTTATACTTTGCTGAAATGCAAAGTAGCATTGCACACCAACCTCTATTAGACAAGTTTGGCACCACCTTCCCAAAGCGTTACCTGGATATGTGCTTGTGTATGTGCTTTGAAATCTTCAGTACTGAATTTCATTTTGCATTTCTACCACTCAGAGAAAAATCTCCACACCATGAAACACCTGAGTGGTTTTTGGGATATCATCACCCAAGCAGCATCCTCCACAATTCTCCATAAGTCCCAGAGTAAATGATTGAGCTGCAGCAACAGCTGCTGATTTACCTGAAGGCACACAGTCACAACAAATGCTTCTTGGCAACATCAAAACCAACGAAGAGCAGTAGAAAATTCACAATCCTCTTATAAAATTGTCATCCTTTCTCCTCATTCCAGATACTGATCTTGTCATAGGCACTTTAAAAATGCCTTAAACCCCTGTCAACTATTCACTTACCCAAAGTTAAAATTTGGCAAGTTCCTTTTTAGCCACTTCTTTTCTCAGGTGCTGTGGTTTCTGTTTGAATCTTCAGAAGTGAATCATAGTTTCAAAACTCTCTCTACCTTCGTGAAACACTCTTTTTCCATTAGCATTCAACATGTTCAGCATGGGCTCAGACACGTTACCAGAAATTTATACTAGAGTCCGTAAAAAAAAATCCCGTGTGATTTCATGCCCTAGAAACACCTTTTACACTGTAACTATTCCTACAGCTATTGGGAGATATGAGGCATATGGATCTGAGCTAGTCAAATTAATACCATAATGGCTTCTGGCTCAACAGGCACGTACAGTGCAAACAGAGAGCAGAACAGCTGTAGCAGAGTTAGCTTTTATGTGGGTGGCATAGACGTCTGCCAATTAAAATGATCTGATGAATCATTTCTTGCCGTATGATTACTGTTAATAAGAATTTATGTTAACATGTTTGTGTCTGAACTTTGCGCAGGTTCAAGCCTGCTTTTATTTTCTTAAAAAATAGTGCATATCATGGTTGTTTTTTGTTCTTAATGAACTTTCTTTCCTCGTTCATAGGCGTTCCAGAACTTCAGTAATGCAGAGCTGACAGCTATCCCTTAAAGGAAGATGTTTTTATCTTCATGTAGTGCTTTCTGCATGTAATTCTATATACACAGATTGATAGTTTTTAACCTGGGAAACTCAAGCTAAGCTGCTAAATCCATATAGCAGCACTTACAAAGAAAGCACGGCCTTCAAAATATGAGGAGTCCTCATAAACTTTTATTAAAGCCTCTCGTTGCAAACATTTGTACTTACACTTTCCTTTAAATAGTCCCACTGACTGATGGCCTTTAGACATTGACTTCATTATGTTAATTCCCTGTGTGTAAAATCAAGTATTTTTTTTACAGAGCTGATATGTTATATTTATGATGAGAAATTAAGGTGTGGTGTGGCAAAATGTAGTTTTAAATATGTTCTCAGCATCTTACAAGGAACTTCAAAGTATTTGAGAAGTCTGTGCAAAAAGTTAAATGTTTTATAGCAAGAAATACACAAGTCAAAACATGATGACTGATTTACTTAGGTTTGGGAATCTCTTTGATCAAAAAATTGTAGTTTAAAATTCTACACAATCTTAGTAAATACAGTAGGACAGGGTAGAGAGACAGAAAACAATTGTGATAAAACTGTATGAAGTACAGTTTAGATAGGATAAGTGGTCGGAGACGCATCATCCTTGTGCATCTTGTTTGGAAGCCAAAACCAAAATGTTTTGCTGAAAGGACTTGTTCCCACAGGACTTAGAACAGTTAGAAGAAAATATACTGGAGAAAATAGTCCTAAAAGACTAAAGAGGAACTCAGCAGATAGATAATTTCTTTACCTCTACTGGCAATTCTTCCACTCACCTTAGTGGGAACTGAGGACACTGGTAAGCGAGGTATTTCCATGGCACTGGAGCTCTGGGGGGCTCTTTGGCTAACATCCTCCTTTTGTCTGCTCTGCCCATGCTCACTGATGCCTGGAGATCACATTTGCATCCATTTTCTCTGCAGCAGCAATAAATCAAGAATTCATATGTTTTTTTTTCCAGTGTCATCCTGCATTACCACATATAAGAAGACACCGCCTCCAGTCCCACCAAGAACTACTACCAAACCATTTATTTCCATCACAGCCCAGAGCAGCACAGAGTCTGCCCAAGATGCGTATATGGATGGGCATGGACAGAGGGGAGATATCATCAGTCAGTCTGGACTTAGCAACTCCACAGAGAGCTTGGATAGTATGAAGGCATTAACAGCTGCTATTGAAGCTGCCAATGCACAGATCCATGGCCCTGCAAGTCAACATGTAGGGAACAATACTGCCACTGTCACCACCACCACAACCATTGCTACTGTTGCAGTTGAAGATAGAAAGAAGGATCACTTCAAGAAAAACAGATGCTTATCTATCGGAATACAGGTACAGTAGAGGACATGGATTATAAACCTGCCATTGATTTGGATTTCTGCATCTGCTCTACTGTTCGTTGTGTATTTTTCTTATTATTTTCCTGACAGATACCTCTGTAGAAATTGCAGCAGCATAATCTGCATGGTACTAATGGTGTTTTCCTAATTTATCGTTAAAACATCACATGCAAGGATTTGTTTAAGTCTCCCTGTTGTTTGTTATTCAGCTCTGTTAAATTACACACATGACTACTAATCTATGAATCATAACACAGCAGGGGTCAGAAAGGCATGAATTAAATCATTGAAAGGGAATGTGTAAAACAATGATTTACATTACACTATCACCCAAAAAATATTTTCGTCCAGCCTCACTGAATTAATTGTCACTGCTTATTCATGCATTTCATAATGACTGGTAGCTGCTAGAGTGAGGCAGCATTGTTCCTATCTCAGCCTCAAGAGCAGAGGCTAAGTTCCTTCTGATTTACCCTTGTTAAAGAAAATTACATTTTGTTAATTGTAGTGAAATGAAACAAGAAAATAACCCTGCCAAAGTTCACTTCTGTTTACAGAAGAGAGAAAAGCAAATAATCTTTCCAATACTGCCCTCCAACCCTCACCTCAAAAAAAAAAAAAGAATGCACATAAGACTCTCAAGACTCCCAACTATCTGCTTGCAGGATTAGGCTATGCGACAAAGTACTTGAACTTACAATCATCTGAGAATCAACACAACTTTTGATGGGAGATGAATCCCAAGCAAATAGAATAGCAATCCACATCTTATCAGCCTTCACAAGAAGATGTGATTTTTTTTCTTGCAGATGGAGGTTGTAAGCTCAGCACTATGTGCCTGGACAGGCTTATCTGATTAGCAAAGCCTAAGAATTTACTGTGAAATCTCTGCATCAGCCTGATGAGATGAGAGGCACTGTGTAGAAGTATGCCATCTCAGGGGCAGCTCCTGGAGAAACTGTGACTTTTCTCTTGCTTCTTCTAGGACGGCCAATAACTACTATTGCCTATGGATTCAGTTCACTGCCTTCGTTGTAGCATTTTTCTGTTCCACAGACATTTGGTTTGGATATATTCTGAAAGAAGGACTGATGTTCAGTGTTAAACACAGGAGCAAGATCCAGGTGGGACAGGGATATCGGAAAGCTCTTCTATTGCTTAGTCCCATTCCCAGCCAAGCCTAAAACGTCGTCTTATCACTGTAATCCATCATTTTACTATTAAGCAAAACAACAAAGGCTCCTTAGCAGGCAAACACCCTGCAAAATAATGGGTAGAAGAATGGCTTGCAAAAGCTAAAATGAACAATGGTAAAGTGAATCATGGCTCTTGAGACACCATCTCTCTGCTGCTCTCTTCTTAAGATGGTGTTGCTGAAAGTAATAAACGCTCTATTTCAGAGGTATAGGCGCCATAGTTTTCTGAGAGCTGAGGAAAATAGAGCCCCAAATGCTGTTCAAGTCTTTGACAATTGTCGTGTAAAACTTTGAAATTTACAGATGACCAGCATAATCATATGAGAAAGCTGCCTGGAGATGGTACGTGAGGGACTGCCAGGTTAGTTTTTGGAGATAACTAAAGCAGAGATTACTTGAAGTAAAACCTTCAGCAGTGATACAGCCTCACAGGATTCCACCCTCCCAGTTGTGCTCATCAATGAGATTTTTAAAGTCAGATAGGCTTCACAAATAAAAGAAAACTACTTTGCTAGTCCACTGTCTCTGGTCTGTTTTGCAGCATCACTGCACAAGCAGTCATGCTGCTACAGCTGAAGGGGTAGTGTGGGAGTGCAAATATCACAAGATAGCTGTTCCTGCCAGAAACTACTTCTCGTAGAAACAAGTGCCCTAAAATAGGTAAGCAGGCTGTCAGCCCTCTGACTGGCAGCACGAGGTCAGTCTCTCTACACTGACTGTAAAGGAAGGCTAGTTTAGGCTTAGGCTGAACTTAGACCAGATATACACCTTAATTATAGTTTGGTCCATCTCTGTAAAGCAGGACAAGCTGCATTAGCCAGAGGCATGTTTTTGGTTTGCTTCGTCCTCTAACAAATAAACCTAGTGTGCATTTGTGATGAACCTCTGTATGTGTCCTCTGCACTGCTCAGAGACTCTTAGGACATGGCAAGACTTTGCTGTAAATATGCTTAGCAAACAAGCAAAGCAAAGAATACACTTTCCATCAAAAGGGTGCTTCTCTGTCAATTACAGGATTTAAGGTGCAGTTATCTTCCCAAAAGCCTCAGCATCAGGGAAGTGGTTGATAACATTGAACAGAACTGTAACTCACATCCCTCCTTGAGAACTCTTCCTGCATTGACTCTTCAACTGGATCTCAACAAGAAGCTTATTTACTGGTGAAATAGATGCTAACTACAGCTAGAGATTTTGTATACTCAGGGTCAGAGTGGATCCACAGGTCATTTCTTAATACTGTTGTCATCCAAAAATTCTTCTGTGTTGGATTTTTTGTTGTTGTTGTTGTTGTATGTTTAACAATGTCATACATAGCATTAGGAATTAACAACTATGTTGATTGGACCCAGAAGTTTGTGATTTTGCTCACAGACACTTGAGTGGTTCAATTTTAAGTTTATACCATTGATCCTCACGGAGATGGAGAGGTGATACAAAGTTCTGGCCTGTGCTGCTGGGGACCACCAGTTTGCATGATGAAGCAGTAAAGAAAATGCATCCAAGAGCTGCATCCGCTTTCTTTAAATCTTATCTGTACAGTGCTCTGATTTGGGGAACTAACAGCCAAATAAAATAAGCACGTAATTTTGACGTGAGTTCACATATGTGTGCACATACAGACTAACAGGTAAAATCAAACAAATAGTGGACTACAGTAAGTGGAGTTACAGCTGCTCAGAGATTTGCTCTGGCAAATATGAGCACCCAGCCTCCATAAAATAGAATCATAAAATCATAGAATGGCCTAGGCTGGAAGGGACCTTAGAGATCATCTAATCCAACCTCCCAATACTGAATAAACTCCATCTGAATTTCACAGGCCAAATGTCATCAACAAAAATATTTTATGGATTAACAAGAATGATGAATATTCACTAATAACATGAGAAATGAGCACACCACAAATAAACTGTCTGACTAGATGAAGGTGCTTATGGTACAAGTTATATGTGCAGACACTTGCTAGTTATCATGCAGAAAAATTTTAAGTAGCTGGGCGGTATCTCTGCTAAAATACATTCTAATTAGCTGTTTGTTTGTTTTTAAGGTTGATGGTGCTGAAGAATCCCCCAAATCAGGTGAAAATAAAGCAACCAGTAAGTTCCAGTCCATAGGAGTTCAAGTAGAGGAAGAGAAGTGGTGAGTAAACGTTAATACTGGTTTTCTAAAGTAAATAATTATGCCACAGCTAGATTTTAAGAGCCCAAGTTCCTGCATACATGGTCATATAAACCTGCTTCATGGATGAACTGTTAGATCACCCAGCTGAAAAGCTGAGTCTTATAAATGCTGTAGCTCTTGTTTCTCAGAGGCAGATTTTTCAGGACGAGTGGGAGAACTGAAAGTGCCACGTATTTTGAACGTCAATATGCTTTTAATGAAAATGCTTCTTCCCCAGAAAATCCACCTAAGCAGCTGAAGTATTAGCTGCAGGATGGCTTCAGCAGCATAGAGCTGATGAGGAAGTTTAACTTGTTTTTCAGCAGAACAATTTCAGCCACGTGGAGCGGTGCAGTAGCAGAGCCAAACTGACTGCTTTTGCCCAGGTATCTCAGCCAGACATCTCTGCATTACAACTGCTCCCTTGCAAAAAAAATGTTGAGATTAAAAAACGAGCCTCTAAAACGCGGCTCTCTCTCCAATCTGCAGTGTAACCTACATTGGTAAACAAATACGTTCCAATAAAACCAATTTTTTTAAAAAAACAAAAATAGTTGTTGTCTTTTAGGGTTATGTTTCCTTCTGAAGACAAATTGCAGTTATGTTGCAGGGGCAGCATAGCTGGGTGCGTAGTACCTTCTAGGCACATAAAGTTTCTGAGTGCTTGACCACAACTGCAGATCTCAATTCCTGCCCAAAACTGGGCTCAGTGGCTGAAGAAAAGCCGGACTCTCCACTCAGCTTGCAGGCCTGCCCAGTACCACTCTGGCTACAACCACCCACCCAAGTCTTCACTTTTTGCAAGACACTTGGGCACAGCATAGGTTTTGGATCCTGGAGCCCTTTTGTTGGTAACAATGTGTGCCCTGTGGCAGGAGAAGCCTCAGAGCAGTATCGCTTGTCCCTGGGGCAAGGGTAGCCCTTGCGAGATCTGCAGAGAAAACCTGGGTGCAGCAAATCTGAGCTGACAAAATTAGGGTTCTCTGCCCTCCTCTGGCCCACTGACTGCAGTAGCAAGAAGAGGAGATGTCCGTTTTCATGCCGTTTTTTTGCTACGTCTTCTAAAAAACGCTAAAAAATAGTGTGTTGTCTACACCATTTTCAATTCAGCAAAATCTCCCTTTAAAGTAGCAGAGTATTTTCCTGTGGTTTTAAAAGGCTTAAGTGATTTCAAGAAAAAGAAATGTGATTTTGCAATGACCCTGCTAGGCTGTTACCAAGTTCCTCATTAACCTGCTAAAACATCTCTTGCTGGCAGACATTTCTTTATCTTTTAGACCTTAGCCCCATTTACCCACAACTCTTCCAGTACTAGATAAATGAGCACATTAAAATAGATGCTGAAGGACCATTTCCCTTCAGCCTGAACACAAAGCAAATAGCTACCCCAAAAAGCCCAACCCTCCCCCTCCTTTCAAAAAAAAAAAAAAGGACAAAGAAAAAAATGGTTGTTTGTGAATCCCTTACTTCCAAAGTCCTCTTTCTATTGCAGTTTTTATTGCTCCAGAGAAAAAGGTAAGATTTGCCTATGAGAGTCTGCCCAGAAAAAGCAATATTTCTGCATTACCTACTGACAGCTGTGTTTGGGGGTTTCCTTGCTGATAAAGTTGAGGTTAGTGCTGTTAGGAGCAGAGGCAAGCAGCAATTTGTCATGAACTTTCAGAAGTGAACTCGCTGATAAAGGACAGCCCCTAATCCTTAGAAAATGTGTGCGCTCAAGACACAAAGGGCTTATCATCACACTTTGGCACTCGTATTCCCCCCTTTTTTTAACATAGCAGAGCACAATGTATTGATTATCTGTTACAGGAATAAAATTGTAAATACAGTGTATTCTTCCCTACCTCTGCACCATAACATCTGCAGGGCTTCAGAAAAGCCCTTTTGACTTGAATCATTGACAAATTAACGTTCTGAAAAAACTTCCAGGCTTTGGAAGTATTAAATAGATATAAAATAAGAAGAGAAGAATGACACAGCAAAAAAAGGATAAGTACAGTAAATTGATTATGTTTCCTCGCCCATCTAAGCTATTAAGTCCACTCTTATAAGACAAGAAAACTCTTTTCTTAATGTACCAAAAGCCTACAATACAAAATTTTTTTCACTCCTCTTCTTTGCTTTCTGCTCTTTCCTCCCCCTTTCCCTTAGCTAATATGACTGTCATTCTTACACTCAGGAGTCTTATCTCCTCATGTCCTTTTAAATATTCCTGCTTCTGTGTTTGGACGAAGTAAGCAAAAGATTTTGCCTCCATTTCTTGATCTAAGTAGCTCAAAAATAGAGCATATTCGAAGGACAGTTCCATCTCGTCCATCTCCATCTCAATTCAGACCTTTCAGCGCTCACTGTAATCTGGGCTTCCTGCCAAGATAAATGACTCTTCCTCCTCTTCTTCCTCCCCCTCTTGTATTGTTCAAAGGATAAATATACCTACCACTACCTGACTATTACAATTGGATCCATCACCACTATCCATCTTATCCTGAGTTCTTTATGTTGCCTGCTCAATAATCTTATTCACGCCCATTCCCTAAATCCAGGTCTACAACTTGTAGCATTTATGAAGTACCTCTGTCCAGTCCTTCTTGTGGAAAAAACTAGTATGCATTTCTTTCAGCCTCATGGTCTTCCTGCCCTTAGTCTCTTATCTCTCACCTGATCTCCTGATCTCCGTGATGCTAACAAAACCTCAGTCAGAATGTTCCTCCCCTTTTCTCTCTTGGCCCACCCCTTCCAGGGCAGTTTTGAAATGTGTATCTAATGAAGCAGATTGGTGAACTTCTCAGGGCACTTCCATTTCTATCCATTTCTGTATGTCCTTTCTCTCTAACTCAGGGGATCCTCTTACGTTCTTCACTTACGGAAGATAATTGAATTGTTGGAAGTCAACCAGTTCTACTGAACCAGAAAAGAAGAAGACATATATTGTGCCAGACCAATTAGCACACGTAGTTATTGAACAAGGGACTCTCAGTCTCATAGTTCGATAGTCAGTTTTAGTCTTTCTTGCATTTTACCTTGTCTGCCCCAAAGTCTCCTTCTGTTACGTTCTCATTCCCAAAATTGTCTTGCTTATTGCTTATTGCGTCATACCATCAGCTGATAAATGTACTTTGTTTGCCATCACGAGAATTTGTGAATGATGAAGCGATGGTATTTTCTGAAGCAAGAACACTGCCATGGGAGATTAAGACCATAGACATATAGTCTTCCATTTTCTCTGGCTTCCGTGGTGCCAGGTAAGGTGCCCTCACCTCTTGGTGAGGTGTAGAGTGAAATGATTTGAAATGGTGGCGGGGTAACATTAAAAAAAAAAAAAAAACACAAAAAACCACCATTACCTCTAAAACCTTCAAGGAAAAAAACAAAACAAAACATTTTTTTGGCTTTTGTTACTACATAAAGTAATATTTTTCACTTTTTTTTTTCATTTAGATTTTTGGATTTGGTCACTTACTGCCTTGAAAAAAAGTGCTCAGGTTTTGGGGTCTTCCCTGCACAGCAGGCCAGTCCTGTGCTCTAACTCAAACTTTTCAACTCTCCAATCTTTAGGACAGGACCTTCAAATCTTTATTTTGGCCAAACTGAGATGGAACCGATATTTCTTTGGCTTTTGTCTATAGCATCTTCTGGCTATCTGTGTTCTCCATGGAGGAAACCATTCCATTGAGAAATTCTAAAAGTGGTAGATGCCCCATCCCTGGAAACATTCCAGGTCAGGTCGGACAGGGCTCTGAGCAACCTGATGTAGTTGAAGATATCAAAGATTTGTGATCAATGGCTCAGTGTCCAATGGAGACTCGTAATGAGTGAAGTTCCTCAGGGGTGGGTACTAGGACCGGTGCTGTTTAACATGTTTGTCAGCAATATGGACAGTGGGATTGAGTGCACCCTCAGCAAGTTTTCTGATGACACCAAGCAGTGTGGAGTGGTAGACATGCTTGTGGGAAGGAATGCCATCCAGAAGGACTTTGACAGGCTTGAGAGCTGGGCCTATGTCAGCCCCATGAAATTCAACAAACCCAAATGCAAAGTCCTGCACTTGGGTCAGGGCAATCCCAAGCACAAATGCAGGCTGGGGGATGAGTGTATTGAGAGCAGCCATGCAGAGAAGGTCTTGGGGATGCTGTTGATGAGACACTCAACATAGAATCATAGAATCATAGAACATGATCCAGCAATGTGTGTTTGCAGCCCAAAAAAACAATCATATCCTGGGTTGCATCAGAAGATGCATAGCCAGCAGTTCAAGGGAGGTGATTCTGCTCCTGTGAGACCAAACTTGTGGTACCACATCCAGCTCTGGAGACCCCAACACAAGAAGGACATGGATTTGTTGGAGACGGTACAGAGGAGGGCCACAAAGATGATCAGCGGGCTGGAGCAACTCTCCTACAGGAACAGGCTGAGAGAGTTAGGATTGTTCAACCTGCAGAAGAGGAGGCTCCAGGGAGACCTTACAGCAGCCTTCCAGTACCTGAAGGGGGCTACGGGAAAGCTGCAGAGAGACTGTTTATAAGGGCGTGTAGCAACAGGATGAGGAGCAATGGTTTTAAACTAGAGCAGGTTAGATTTAGATTAAACACTAGGAAGATGTTCTTTACCTTGGGGATGGTGAGACACTGCAACAGGTTGCCCAGAGAAGTTGTGGAAGTGTTCAAGGCCAGGCTGGATGGGGCTTTGCACAACCTGGTCTAGTGGGAGGTGTCCCTGCCCATGGCAAGGGTGTTGGAACTGGATGACTTTTAAGACCACAACTCTATTATTCTGTGATAAAATGTCCCTACTCATTGCAGGGGAAATAGACTAGATGACCTTTAAAGGTCCCTTCCAACCCAACATATTCTATGATTCTATGGTTCTGTGATTCAAAGCTGGCCGCAAGCGACTGACCTAGTATTCCAAAGAAGAGACAGTTTTAAAAGTAAGGCTTGATAATGTTCCTTGTTTAAAGCTAAGGCAGGAGAGGTTCAGACTGGGCATTAGCAGCATTTTTTTACCAAGAGGGTCGTCAAAGACAGGAGCAGGCTCCCCAGAGAATTAGTTGATGCCCCAATCTTGTCAGTGTTTGAGGCATTGGGACAGTGCCCTTAATAATATGCTTTCATTTGGGTCAGCTCGGAATTGGTCAGGCAGTTGGACTAAAAGATTGTCGTAGGTCCCTTCCAGTTGAAATAACCTATTCTAACATTGCCATAAAGGATTAGAGTTTCCCTGCTAATACTCTTGGTTATGAAAAAAGACTGTGAACGGGAGGAGGAGGGATAGAACAAAGCACACAATTTCATGTAGCTTGAAGATGTATGGCTGGAGATCCCACCAATAGAAGACATGGTACATACCTGCTAACTTCTTCTGCATTTGGTTTTGCTCTGCTAACAGCAGCTGCAATCTTAAAAGAGAAACCCACAACTGAAGAAGAGTACAGCCAATGGATAAAGTAAGGCAGGCTGAATTTAATGTAAGTGCCTCTGAGACTTGCTATGCATGGGTTGGTTTGAAACCTAGACCTTCTCTGGGTTTTTTGGATTTTTTTAGGAAAGAAAGAAGTTCTCTGAGTTGAAATGTAAACATGTTTTTCAAAAGAAAGCAGAAGAACATTTAGAAGCAGAGAGTTGAATAGTAACAAGTGACCCTGTTGTTGCTGTTGAAAACACATCCTGCTGTTGTTTTCCATACTGGTTTATCCAGTCTGAGGTTTCACGGCTTTCTGCACCTTAGGCCAGGTATCTGCTGCAGTTCTCTGAAGCTGTAATTATTACACCTTGTGCCTGCAGGGCGCAACTGAATACAAAAGGACCAAGCCTGAAAGCAGAGGAAGAAGCAGATGTCTTTTTTTTAATGATTACCCACCATTTCTGAAAACCTTTTTTTTTTTGAAAGTAGTCCTGTGAATGTTTTGTGTGTGTAAAAACAGTGAAAACTTAGGCCTTAGCTTCAGCAGCTCTCCTGTGGTATGGAGTTTTAACCAAGAGAAAAACAAAAAAGGCTCATATGGGACACAAATGATATTTTGTAAGAGTAAAACATCCTGGAAGTGAGTGAGGAAGCTGAGACTAAAATTACCATCTATTAGGCATTTTATATAGATGTGCTGGAGGCAGGCAGATAGTGGGTGCCTTCCTGCATTTCCATTTCATTCAACATACATTTCCTTGGGAGTATTTTTTTCATTTTGAACTCATGCTATATTCTATTGCCAAGTTGTTTTTCTTTTGAAGACAGATAGGTTACACAATCCAGTGCCAAGAATCTGTCAAGCAAGCCTGTAGCATACTATTATATAGATAAAACAAAGGCCAAAAAAAAAAAAAAAGTAGTTTGTTCAGTTTTATTTGTTGAGCAGAGTCTGGTTTTGGTGGTACTAGCTCGTATTGAACCTAGTAAGAGTACACTCCTGCAAGCTTTGAAATGTAGTGCCTCCAGCAATACATCCTCTTGGCAAGTAGACCTTGATGTTTTCACATTTGGGATCTGGTGTACACTGAAAAGCTGGGTTGTTAACTGAAAATACAAATGGTCATCTGAAACAGAAGGATATCAGTCTAAGGTGCTGGGGAAAGCAGAAGGTGGCTGTGACGTGGAGGTGTTGCTTTCCCTTCATGGCAACAGAGGTAGGGGCACAGAGAAGAACGAGCCTCCATTCAGGCATTTGCTTTTCTCTCCAGTGCCAGGAAGGTATGGAAGAGTACACAGTGTATTAATGCCTTGGCTCTCAGTGAACCCTGACTAAGTGACTGAAAAGAAATCCTCTGTGGGCATACATGGGGCGGGTTTTTGTGTGTGTGTGTGTGCATATGCATGCACACACTTCAGTGCAGCTAAGGGATTTGTCAGTTTGGGGACCAAATTAAGGCATTTAAAAAAAACCCAAAAACCTAGCATAGATTGGACCAAAAGGTTTTCATTGTAATGTCAGCCTAAAGCTAAAGTCTTTCTGACCACTAATAGCAGTCTAACAGCTTTTCTCTGCCAAGGGCCAGTAGCAGATACTTAGGAAAAGTATAAAGGAGTGTGTCTAAAGGAAAAGTATAAAGGACTGTGTCTAAAGGAAAAGTATAAAGGGTGTGTAGAAAGCGCTGCTTCTCCCAGTAGACCTTCCCAATTTAGCAGTCTGTTGTTCAGGGACTTCCTAAGCCAGATATGACATCTGTGTAATAGCTCTTCCTGGATCTATCTCCTGTGAATTTGATCAGGTTCTCTTTGAACTTATTTTTACCTTTGGGTTTCCCAGGATCCTGTGGCAATTAAATTACACACTGTGTGAAGAAGTACTTCCTTTCACTAAATCTTTAGACATCTAAGCCTTGGCTTAGATGCACTCTGGGAAATGGTGAAGCATTACCTAGCTGAGACTTCATAGGTCTCTCATATCCGTCCTCAGCCGTCTGTTTTCTAAACCAAGAAATGTCTTTCCTCATATGGAAGCCGTACCAGATATCCTTGTCCTCCCTTCTGAACTTTTTTTGCTATATCAGTCTGTAGAAAAATGCTTTGCTCTGCTTGTCAGAGGATAAATACTACCAAGCTGAAGAGTTCTGCTCACTCGCTCCATATTTTTCGGTTTGCTGGTGAGCATCGTGCAAGGCTACAGTGGCGTAACTGTGACTTTCACATCATTTAGTAACACCTGTTTCAAAAGAACTGCAAGTGGCAGAAGCTACATTAAAATGTGTATATTATAGGCCATTATAAAAAATATGTACACAATCTATTATTAAAGATTTCTAGGGATTGGTGTGGCTGAAAAGTTAATTTGAGCTTTCTTCTGCAGAGGAATTGGCTTTTTTTTCTTCTAATTGGAGAATCATTTTCAACTCCTGTTTTGCTTTGCTCTACTCCTCTCAAAGCCCCAGATCAACACCCACTAATTTCCTTCATCAGCAGGACCTGGTACAGTCCTCCTTGAAGTATGCTACACTCCTCCTGAGGTATCTGAATGCATCAGGTGTATAGAACATGAAATTCTCCTTCAGCATCCTTCTGTCTGCTCCCTCCCCAACTGCAGACTAAACACACTTGATGAAGTTTTGCTATCAGTTGGTACTTGTCTCATCAGCTATTGCTCTTCAGTGGAAGGTGGAATATAAATGAGAGAGAGTGAAATGATGCCCAGCATCCAGCTCCGCTGTTTCCCCAATATTTGCATTGTTGCTTGAACTCAGACTTAAGATAGAACTGGTAAGGGCAAAGCATCCAGAATATCACAGAGAAATGGATCCTAACACTGATTTCAAGAGTAAACGTGACATTGTGAACAAACGAGAAGTGAACCAGCAGCTGCACAGGCATCCTAGATTAGTAAGAAGAAGGGGTGGGAATCTGTCCCTATTCAGTTCAGAGCTATATTCATTCTGAAGCCTAAATACTACTAATTTAAGCGACATCTATGTTAATTACTTTATGATTCTTTCTTCTTTACCATCATGGGGCAAGATAGGTGTCTGCTTCGCTTGTTTTCCTGTATTCCTCGGTGCACCAGTTTCTAGAGTTACCCTGGCTCTCTGTAATTGTTTGCCAGCAGATTTTCCACTCATTCCCTCCACAATTTCCAGTTTGTTGTATCTGCCCTCACTACCACCCGCTGCAACAGCATTAAGTGTCTCTTACTCCTTATACTTCCCTCTGCTCCTTCTTTATCAGCCTCTTCACCTCAAATGCCTTGGACTGCAAAATCTGAAGTGTTATTTACATGCAGAAAACCACACAAACCCAAAGCCCCAAGCCTCCTCTCTCCCCTGCAAAAAGCCTTTACCCATAGGCATATGCAAGGTGAAAGGAAGCTACTTACAGGTAGCAGCCTTCATGATGAGGATAACATAGACAGCAATTGAGAATGCTAGCTTTGGTGAAAAACAGAAGACCATTCTGAGACTGAAGGCTAAATGTGAAAATCAAAACATCTGAACACTGGGAGTGGGTGCGAAAATTGTGAAACATAACAGTGGTTTTAGCAGGTACATAATTATGAAGAGCAGCCATGAAGAAATAATATTAAATACTTATCTGCGTTCGAAATACTTATCTTCTTTATAAATGGAATGTGTAACATTATGTAGACAGTAGACTCATTAGTGTTAATATCAATCTCACATGCGTGGATTTTAAATATGGCTGGTGAGTTTGGGTGTATAACTTTGGAGAGTGTTGGTTCTAAAAGTTGAAAGATAAGCCACTTCTTAAAATTGGGCCCCTTTAACTTTTCTTTAAAGAGTAACCTAAAATCCTGAGTTAGCAACACTAGTAGCTGTCTCTTGGGCTGGCCTCTGGCTTTGTTAAACCACACAACAATTAGGGGTACTTGCCTCAACAAACAATGAGCTTGCATGGAAAAAAGAGAGATGTTTGTTTGTTGACTTGCAAGGAGAAAGTTATGCTGATCATACTCAAGAAAAAGCACGTGAGAGTAGCACTGAGACCAGTGACTGCCAGTCTTAGGAGGAGTGGCAGTATCTTAATAATTTCCTTCTTACCAAGTTACTTATAAAAAGCTTTCTAAACATTTTATGTTTGTTCTTCCAAAGCTTTCGCAGGTTTACACGATCTAATAGTGTGACAACAGCCGTGCAAGCAGACCTGGATTTCCATGAAAACTTTGAAATAATCGATCCTCAAGAGGACAATTCATGTTCTGGACAAATATCAAGACAATTTTCCCGAGATGCAAGCACCTCTACAGTTAGCATACAAGGGTCAGGAAACCATTACCATGCATGTGCAGTGGATGATGATTTTGATACAGATTTTGATCCATCAATTTTACCTCCTCCTGACCCCTGGATTGACTCGATCACTGAAGATTCTCTGGAGGCTGTTCAAAGGTCAGTGTGCCCACGAGATGGCCACTGGTTTCTGAAGCTTCTTCAGGCAGAGAGAGATCGTATGGAAGGCTGGTGCCAACAGATGGAGAGAGAAGAACGGGAAAACAACCTACCCGAGGACAGTAAGTAACTGTGTACAATAATACTGCAATCACAAAGAAAGTATTTAATATAGGTCAAATTTACTCTAGTGAATTCTATGCTGTGCCTCTTCTTATTTAGCTAATGAAGCTATGGTCATGATTCTCAAAAGGACTGTATGTATGTGTATAATAATCCTCATTAAATTTGACAGGGAATGCAAATGCTCGGTACTTCTAAAACTTCAGAGGTTATTAACTTTGGGGATTGCGTAGTTCAATGGATAATTAGGAGATCGTGGTTAGGGATCTTGTTGTATTAATGTTTTTACCTCTTCCATTTGAAATCACTTCTCATAACCTTAGAATATAATCGAATGGATTCTAGTTCCTTTTCATTGAATTCATATTTTAGTTGCCTTTTTAGATGGTGATTGGCATCAGAGACTTCAGATGCTTCTCCCAACTGAAAGGGATTTCAGTTGTGCTTCCAAGTTCTCTTCTTCCCCTCTCCAGCCTCCCTTCGTCTCCCTTGCAGTTCTCATTCCTCTTTGATCTTCCCAGTAAAACAAGATCTCCATATTCTATGGTAAAAAAACCACACATATGCAAACATATCTTACCTATCACTTCTGCCAGAAGTATTACCCCACCTGTAAAGTAGTGTGAATGTCTAGTAAGTTTTCATTAGTAAGAAGGGTTGGGTAGCACACACCTTATTCATTTATTCTATTTAGGGAAGAAGAGAGGAACATGGGCCTCCCTGTCCAAAATTTTTTCCTCCAGTAAAAGTGTGAGTTTTTTCTATTTACTACCATTAGAAGGAGCAGTACTATTGATAGCAGTCAACTTTTGGACATAGGAAAACCTGTGACCTTAGGAGCATGCTCCTTGTGAATTAAGCTTTTTTAAATTCTAGCAGGGAGCTTCCAGAAGACACTTAAGGAGCAGCTGCCTATAGAGAGTTCAATACTGCATAATTTCTGCACATGTAAGCATATTTTCCTGGATATATGTGTAACACTTTTTCAACCCCCAAATTAGCTCCTACTAAAGCAAGGACCGCTACTTCAGCTTCAAGATTTCTTCTTCCAACTATCTAACCCTTCATCTCAAGAAGAGAGGTGCTAGAATTTTTTTGAGATGTGGAAGTTTTGATTTATGGAAGGAAAGAAATTAACACTGGCAAAAGTATTTTTAAAAAATTCTTGGAAATGCATAAGCTGTTTCTGATGGAACTTTCCATTCAACCTAATGAAAGAAATAACCATAGAGAAGGTTGATCTAGGTAGGTAAAGTTAGACACTATTGTAAGGTATGGAAAATTTACTTCTAATGGAAAGGATGAGATAACATTAACGTTAAGGTATGCTACAGTTTTTTTATTTCTACAAAATTTCTGTGATATAATAGGGTAATTCTTTCTTCTAGGGAAAAATATAGAATGATTAGTCTTCAAAGTAGATCCAGGTTCTCCAAGTTTTAGAGTATTTGAACCTCATTTTTAATTTACATCATTGATAAATTCAAAAATCTCTTTTAACATCTATCAGAATACAAAGGTTTTCTGTCGCTAGCATGCCAGAAATAAACCCCATGAACTAAGAGATTTTAGATTAGAAAAGAAGTATGAACTCATTAAAAATGGGAAATACACAACATTTGTAAGTCCAAGCCACAAAACCCACTTGCTTTCTCTTTGCCCCAATAACTTAGACTGGATATAAGGAAGATGTTTTCTACCTTGAGCTTGGTGAGACATTGGAACAGGTTGCACAGGGAAGTTGTGGATGCCTCATCCCTTGAAGTGTTCAAGGCCAGGTTGGACAGGGCTTTGAGTAACTTGGTCTAGTGGAAAGTGTCCCTGCCCACGGCAGGGGAGTTGGACTGGAATCCATAGAATCACCATTCTTTGGTGTTGGACTGGAATCATAGAATCACCATTCTGTGATTCTATGATTCTATGAATTGATAATAATGCAAAAAGTCTGCAAATATTTTATTTGTGCACCAAAGTAGTTACTCACTTTGGGAAAAGAATATGAAGTGAATTTTACAAGGCTGATACATGCTCAATGAGTATAACCATGCACAGAATTTTCTCTCAGTGTCCTGGTGTCTTTGACATATGGTAGTTTTAAAGGGCTCTTCTCTGAGCAATTGGTGAGAGAAGTCAGTTACGCGAAAGATAAAGGAGTGGCTAGGCTGGTTACTCCCAATGCCTTCTTACAGCACATGTGGCATGTGTCCTGCAGATTATTCGTCCTCTTCATTTTTCTGACCAGCACTTCTCGTGGTCACTGGAAATGGGAAGAGGAAAGGGGTCACCCAGGGTTTGTGGTCACTGGTGAGATACTGATTCTAGTGTGACGCTGTCGGCTGCTGCGGCATGTGGCAGCTGCCTCCTGCAGAGGCTGCGTGGGGCTTTTTGCTGGGGCTCAGCATGCCCCGCTCTACCTGGTGCCAAGGAAAAGCATATGGCTGGAGCCACCCTGCCTGCTCAGCAGTGCCAGAAACAAAAGGCTGGCTGTTACAAACCCTGCCCTTAAATATATCTTTTTCATATGTCTATAAACTTTGAAGAGAGGGAGGAGCAGAGCAGAAGTGGTGTGCTTGTGTTGGTTTTCCTAATGAAATATAACCAGAGCATCCTTTGTTTTCAACCTGACATCCTCGGCGTGTGTTTGGCCAGATAACAAAATAACGAGAACGTGTGATGAGCGAGGTTTTCACGATGCCATGGCAGCTGACAGAGGGCTCGTCCCCCCGGCGCTCCCCGTAAAATGATCCGCGCCTCCTCCAGACAATGCGGCCCTTGTGCAAAACAGCTGTCTCAGGGAGACGGCTCACTGCTGTTTGACAGTAGCTTGTATGTTACATAGATACGCTGGGTATTATTATCTAGCTGGGAATGAATTTACCAGATGGGATTGAATGTTTCTAACTGGGAAATGGAGTCTGCTGCTGTGTATAAAAACAAGCTGTGGTTCAGTGGCTGCACGATGAAATGCCAATATAGAGAGAAATGTGGCTCCCCTTCCACCATGAATTATTTATTGGATAGTATATTTTGGTTTTATCTGAAATCATTTTCTGATAAAGCCGTGGCGTGTGCAACAGGCAGAGGAACACCACTCACGCTTTAGGCTAGGATAATTGATGTTATTTCTGTGTATTTTGCTGTTACAGGGATGCTGGCTACAAATGCTAGGGTCCTCCTTAAAAAAAAATGATAGAGATACGAGGCTAAACACCTTGTGTGAACTGGTTGACATTTTGGATCAGGCCTCAAGTGAAACCAATTCTTTAAGTTTTTTTTTTTTTTACTCCTCAATACACTGCTCTCTTCCACCTCTTCCCAGCCTCACCGCTAATGTTGGTGATTTTGGCTCAGGCCTCTGGAGTAACCATTTACTCACAGAATTAGCAGCAACAGCTCCCCTTGCAGCGCTGGTAGAGAGCAGCCTCTAACTACTTTTTTTCCCAGTGGTGGTAGGTACGGGAGGATATACCTACTGCCTTGCCCTGGCTTTTGCTGGATTTTTTGCTGTTGTTTTTTTTTTTATTTCACATGGAGCATTAACCTTTCTGGAAGAACCGGAGGGCTTCATTTTGCCCCCACTCCAGAAATGTTTCTCTTTCACATGGGGTTGTAATGTGGCTTCAAAACGAAGATAACCATTAGAAGCAAACAGTGGACCAGATTCACCATAAGTCAGGTGTAATGTGGGTTTAGCAGCGAGACAAGTCAAGCCCAGCGAGTAAAACCTAAAATAGAAAAACAAGGCTCTGACAAGACATGTAATTATAACTGTCTTTTGTGTTTGTTATATCTGGGCTAGTCTGTGAACAAAGGTTGACCTCATATCTGCAGTAACCTCGTTGCTTATGACCAAAGTCTCTGCAAATTCAGACAGTTCTGGCAAATTATGTAATGCTTTCGCACTTTGTGCTGTTTTGGTTTGTTTTGATTGTTTCAGCGGACGACTTAAAGAGTGAAAGCTAGGCACAAGAGAAGAATGTTAAGGAAAAGGTTCATTTTTCTAACAGTTGTGCATGACAAAAGAAAAGGAGACCCATGAGTTTGCTCACAGCCACAACCAAGTACCCTGCAGGGCATCCCCAAGCCGTCCTGGTTCCTGCCGCTCAGAGGAGCGAGGCAGCCTTATCCCACTGCGGGCTGATGAAGCCTTGCAGAGGGGACAGTCACCAGCCTGACATGCAGCCAGTCCTGCTGGAATCCCCCTGGCTACATGCTCCTGGCCGTATGCCCAACCAGTCCTTCTCTTGTTCTGGTTTTCTTTTCTCCCTAGAAGGGACTTGTCTGTACACGAGGATTTCTCCAAGGAAAGCCAACTCCTGGCTGGAAACCCTGCCAGTGTCCAAAAGCTAACAAGGGAAAAAGAAGAAATCCACAGGCAAGGAAACAATCTAGTTAGGGAAAAAACATGAAGTGTGCTGATAAAAGCCAAGTAGGTCAGACAACACATGAAAACTGCTTTACTCCCAGTGAACAGCATTTACTTTTGCAGTCAGCCCTATTAATTTAAATGAGATCATGCCTATAAGTATATATGGCTCAAAGCAAGGACTGCTCCTGCCATAGCTTGCTCCATTTGGCTGTTTTGTCCTTAATAGCTGAGCTTAAGACCTGAGCAGTAGCTTTAACTTTGAATTTCCTGGCTTTTGTCATGCTTGGCGTTATTTAAATGTAGGTCTGTCAACATGAATAGACTAAAATGCTGGTCCATCCTGGCTTGGAAATGGATTGTGACAGTTCTATGGCAGGATTGCTTCATATGCACAGTGCCCAGCCAACATCTGCAACGCAAATGTCAGCCTGTGTCCCTGTAATTTCGACTATTGTTCCTGCCACTTGCTCCTGGGGCAATGAACAAGTCTCTGGCTTTCTGTTCCCTAGCTTTTACCCCGCCAGGTGTTTTCACATTAAGGGCAGTTGATAGTCACAGTCCTTAAGTGCCTCCTTTGTCACTCGTTAGACCCTGGGGCCTGTCAAAGTTGAAGTGTGAAGAGATCAGTTGGTGGTTTAAGGCCAAATAATGCTGCTGCTCCTCAAAACTCCGGTGGCTTCGAAGTGATGATTTTTCACATCTCTTCAGGTTTTTTTTAATTGTTGTTTTCTTATAGTTTGTTATCCTTGTTACACACACAGGTAGAGCAGATGACAATATTGCTGGATTTTTTGCTTGTGTTTCCAATTTTTTTTTTGTTTCATTTTTGTTCCCATGGAGGTGGGAGATACATAGAGCTCCACAATCCCAAAGCAGGTTCTATGCCATTCTTAGAATAAAGGGAAGCAAGAATGTTTTAAAAGGAGAAGAGATAGGGGGGTTAGAGACACAAGGAAATTCACTGGCATGTGTCAATCCTAAAATAACATTCTGCGATACCTAGTCAAGAACAGTGATAGTGAGGAGGTTCTCCACAGTAGCTGAATTATATCAAAATAGCTATACCAAAGCAGTTCTTCCAGAGTAGATGTAACTGTCTATTTCTTACAAGGCGTCATAGGAGAGATCTGGAATTACAAGGAAGAGAGGTCAAAACAAGGAGTGGGAAAGGAAAAAAAAAGATTCAAACTCTAAAACCAAAACACTGCAGTACTCACACTTCTCCCCGTGGGGAAGGGGTGACAGCAAATCATATGATGGATGTTAATAATGTTGCTTAATGCATTACTGGAAGGCATTCAGATCTGACTGTGTTGAGTGTGCTGTATAACCCTTTAAGGAATAGAAAGCAGACACGAGTAACAATATATAGGTGTTTAAATCTGTTGTGATTGCATCTTGATGAGTTGGTATTTTTTGCTTTTGTTTGATTTTATACATTTTGTTTGTTTACTATTAGCTGAATGCATCAATTTGAATGTTTACATGTTTTTCTCCTGTACCCCATCTCCCTTGCTGTTAAAGATTTCTCTGACTCTTTTCTGACGTCTTTTGAGAATTTCCATTTATTTTCTCGGTATTTGGCTTCAAGCCTTGTGGGCTTTTCTCCTAAGAAAGTATCAGGCTATTTTTACTTTTGGAGGTTTTTTTACTACACCTTGGCCTTTCTCTTTGGCACCGGAGCTTTTGACTGAGTAAGCAAAACCAGCGTTCTACCCTGAAACGCTAAAAGCAGTGTGTGCTTGGAAACAAAACTTGGGCTCTTGATAAGGCTTTGTGCCTTCTGTAGAGATTCCTCTTTCAGTCTTTCGCATGCTTTGTCTTTTTTTTCCCCCCCCCTAACTTCCGTGACAGAGTTGGTTGTTGACGGGTTGCACATTAACAGACCGCTTGCTTTTGAGGGGCGAGGAATCAGTGACACTTGACTAGATACAGGCGCAGCTACAGCAGAAGTGGCAACAATAGAGAACAGCATCAGCATGCATCCCGCAGTCAGCTGGGATGATGGTTTTTAGGCAAATAGCCAGTCGCTAGGCAGCCAAGGACAAGGACTTCCTTTTCCCTCCTCTGAGATCTCTGAATATTAAGCTCTTCGTCCCTCAGAGAAAGGAGCACATTCCCATCCATCACCAACAAGGTGTATTTACATTTCTTCGCACTTGGGGATGTGATTTCTAGTCGGGTGGTGCAGGTTTACAGGAAGAGCCTGCCTCTTTTTTTTTTTTTTTTTTTTTTTTTTTTTTTTTTTGTCCCAAGAAGTCGACAGACCGTTTTTTCTCCCCTTCTCAAGTCTTGGGAAGCGTCAGAGTGGCTGAGCTCCAGATGAGGCAGCTGTTCCCAAATATACTCAGTGGGAAGAGTTTTCATAACAATGGGAACCACATGAAAGCTCCCAGAGTAGCTCCTCCTACTATTGAAAAGTCCTTTCAGTTGAGTGGTTTGCATATTGGGTTGCATAAATGACTAGACACACCAAGGGGTCCATTTTCAGCACTGTGCGCATAGAATTAGACACGCAAGCCTTGCTAACAATAATGAGAGTTGTGTGCAAAACTCCCTGCGCAATATGCTGAAAATATTCCGCTTAGTGAATCTTCCAGCTCATGGCTATTTCCTGGCAGTGCTGAGTTAAGTTCTGGGAATGAAATGAAAATCTGAGCTCTGTGTGTGTTCACAGAGCTCTCTCCTATAGTTTCTGGAAAAAAAAAAAAAAAACAAAACGTGAAAATACGCTCTCTTCCCTCCCCTTTTTTCTCCCCTTTCTATGTCTGAAGTATAAATGAACTCCACATCCCATCTCTCCTTCAGCTGCCTTAAGAAGTGAGCTTTGCGGCTGCTGAAGGAAAAGCGCTTTGCCTTCAAGGAGCAGAACACAGATTTTGTACTACTGTGTGTCTGGTTTCAGTTCATCATGAGTGTTTGTGCCAGTTTTCTTAGTGTGCGGCTACACAAGTGAATCCCACGCAGAGGCCTTTCTCTTACTGAACGTTGCACGGTGGCATTCTGGTCGCAAGCTGCCAATACGCACTGCGGCTGGTCACGGGACTGTGAGACTCTAAAAACATTGTTGGAAGGGGCTATAGAAAAGTTGCATATATTTATTTATTTAGCTATTTATCTGTTTTTCATTGTGGCAAGTCAAAATACTTGTCGGTATTTTCCTGGTGGAGCTGTGCTAATGTTGGGTAAGGTTGTATACAAAAAGTGACTGTGCCCAATGGCAGCATAGAACTAGTATCTCTTCTAGGCTCTGCCAGCAATTCACTCACCTCAAGCAGGCTGCTTCATCTCTTGTTTTTCCTGTTCCTCCATCACCTGCATCATGTATCCAGACTGTAAATTTGTCATGGAAATGTTGCTATGTTTATTCAAGGGCTGGGACAATGCTAATAGCTATTAGTAGAAAAGATAGTGAACATTGTGACACAGTGGCTTCCATTCATGTTTTTCCTTAATGAAGTGATAATTTTTAAAATTAATTTAAGCTAATTTTTAAATCAGTGTTTAGCCAGAGAATTGTTGGATTCTCTGATTCTGCTTAAGCTGAGATCAAAAATTAATGATGAAGCCAGATACATCTGTGATGCCAACCTGTTTATTTCAAGACAGTGCATATAGCCTAGTTTTGTTGCTGGTTTTGTACTTTTTCCTGAGAATTGAAAACCTCAAACAAATTGGTAGCTGCTTTCTTGCTCACAGCATCAACTTTCTTTCAATCAGCAGTCCCCAAAATCACACTCATTTTTCTGGATTCACTGCTGGTTGAGGCCATGTCTGTCTTTCCGCTCTGTTTCTGCATGCTTGCTTCTTTTTTTCACAGGCACACACACACATGCTCCCCCTCGACTAGAACTCAACAAAAAAAGCCCCAGGGAAACGCAGGTCTCTGAGAGCACCAGTGTATGCCTTGGTTTGGGGTAGTGTATTTCCAGATACCCCTTGCAATAAAATGCCACCGTTTCAGTGAGGTTGAATGCAACCAAAACAGTATGAGCTGCTGTTTTATTCAGAGCCATTTACTGTGGGCTGTCTTCCGACTCACTGCAGTCCTTCACAGCACTCAGTCCAAAGAGGTCTTAAGTACCCACCTGTCTCTACAGAGGAGTCTCCGGAGCACCCAGGAGCTGGGATGGGACTCTTTGACACCTGGACATACAAATTCAAGGGCAGAAGCCGCTTTGGACTGTGGTCATGGAAAGTACTGAGGGGGTCCGAACGAGGTTCATCAGGATGCATTAAAATTGCTGCTCCCTTTCTGGGGATCCCTTGACTAAACCTGGAAACAAGGTCCTAAGTTTCCAAGCAGATTGCTGGTAGATGCCGTGTTTTCCAAACCATGTAGATGGCGTCACAGGGTTTGAAAGCTGCGTGTCCTTGTGCTGGGAGCTGGGTTTGCGTTCAAAGCCTGAGCCTGGGTCACAGTGATGACAAGAGATCCAAGTTCTGGTGAATTTCCTGTACAGGGTGCAAAAGCTTTTGATTAGCCACATTTATCTGCCATGGAAGTGCTCTTTGCTGGCTACAACTGGTCTCACTGCAGGAATGAGAGTAAGATGCAGCAACAGATTAGTATTTTTGCCTAGTGCAGATCTGACCTTAGATTTATCAGCTTCTCTCTAATCCATGACTGAGAGATAACATGTTTTTTGAAAGCCAGGGCTAACTACTGTGCAGCTTTCTCCTCTCTGTTTATAGGCTTTTAGTTGCCTGTGGTAAAGAAAGCATCATGACTTACATTTCTTTTTCTCTCAGTTCTAGGGAAAATTCGAACTGCAGTGGGCAGTGCCCAGCTTCTCATGGCCCAGAAATTTTACCAGTTCAGAGAACTTTGCGAAGAAAACCTGGTATGTAACTTTTCTGATAAACGCTGTTGTGTGCCTTTTGCTAAACCTGTGAATAATCGTACCTAAACTAGATAAATTTTCTAACTAACATGGTAGGTTTTTTCTTGTATGAATTTGGGAGTAATTCTATGAAGCTCGGCAGATTCGACATGAATTTCACAATAGCTTGAGAACCTTTAAGATAATGACAGGCAAAACGTTTTGTGAGAAATATCACTGAGGATCTGCTACTGGCTTCAGAGGAGTAAGGATCTGTCCCTTGACCTCTGAGTTCAGTTTGCACAAGCACAAAGATGTTCGGGTAGAAGATCACAAGGTCTTTCAGGAAGGGCCAGAACTCTCATGTTCATATTCCACAACCCCAATAGTGAAGGAGAGAAAAATAATTTTCCAGAGTGCTAAAAGGACAAATAGGAAAAGAGCCAGTATGTTATCATTATTATTACTGTATGTAATTTGTATGTGCTACCACTATTGCTATTATTATTATTATTTACTATTTTTATGCTGTACGTAGTAGTAGCACCAGAATAATACTCCTGTCGGTAAATAAAATTACCTTTCACACCATGTATCTAAAGCAGTATTCTCAAAAATGCTAGTACTTGTAAAAATTTTCAAATTTTTTAATTAACCATCCATTCTTGCATCAACCATCCATACCTTTAATTCCCAACTTTGGCATAAGTTCCTAGAAGCCCTAAAAGCATAGAGCATTATGCTCTGTCAGCGCGGAATAGGGAAGGGAACACAAATGCTGTGATACTTAGCAGTGTGGGGTGACGGTCTTCCACTTCAGCTAATATACCTCTGGAAATCAAGCCCCAAACTAAAATTTGCCTCAATGGACACAGAAATTGACTCTGTCTGAACAAGCTTTCCAGTTCTTAATGTAAAAATTGAAAAAGCATTCTGGTTGCACATCTCTGTAAATAAAGGCCTACAATGGGCAACTTGCTAGTGCCAAGTACTGAAAAACTAGGAAGCCAAGTGTAATCTCTGGTCTCCCTATGAATCTAAAAATACATACTTTATTGATTCCATTAATTGCTCCTTTGGTGGTCTAATCATCCTATCAAAATAATTTGTCAGTGTTGCTATGAAAAGCACAAATAGTTAGAAATTTTGTAAGGCAAGCAACTGACTCCTTGGGGTTTATCGCTTCTGGTGAGGGAGAGAACACAAAGTAAAAATTGAGCCATGTAAAACAACATGCTAAGTTCTAGTACTCATTTATTTATTTATTTATTTATTGGTAACGATATATCAATGTAATCTTATGAGGACACAGCACCCATGAAACCTTGCTTACTCAGATTGGTGTAAGGACTCCTTGGCATTTATGAAAAACCATGCCTGAAGTGAGCATATGCAACATCTCATTTTATTTGAAGAGTTTCAATCAGGAGTGAGCTTACAGAGATGCATCCTGTAGGAACATTTCACTCATATGAACTTTGCCAGCAGAGTGGAGAATGTTTCGTGTATGACCACTGCATGCAGAAGATGTTCAGAGCTGGGTAGCACTGGAGGGACAGAAGACAGCACAGGACCTCTTGGGTCAGCAGCCTCTGACCCACACTGTGCTTGGGATGCTGATACTCTTCTAAGCAACACTCTCAGGCTGATGAGCTGGACTGAGTTTGCACACACAAAGCAATGCTCCAGGTCCCAAAAGTCCACCTATAAAAATGGGATTACTGTGCTTCTGCATGTTCTCTTCCCAGCTTTTTACCCTGCAGTGGCTATTCTTTAAAAAAAAAAAGAATAAAAAATTGGCCTGAGCTGTATAAAAGGCAATTTTACTTGAAACGGTGTATTTTTGTAGACCTTAGATTCTGAGAGTGTGGAAAAGGCATTCACGCAATGGCATGTCACCATTTGCACATGCAGCAGATGTACATTTGCACAGGTCTCTTTAAGTGAGAACACAACAGGGAATACTTCCTCATGGAAGTGAAGAGGAGGAGGCTGGCATCTGTGGTTAGGGTATCACTAGAATGTCCGTGGGCAAATCCTGTCACAGGGGACCTGCCACATGCCCACTCCCTGTGGTCCGTGACGGGC